CAGGTTTTGCTCCTACGTCTGTCCCCTTTTCCAGCTGGTCTGCCATTGGCCTGGTGCCTCTCTGGATGCTATGAGATTGCAGACTCAAGTGCTTACAGACCTATTTTAAGAAGGTATAGAGCCAGCCACAGGCTAGAAACTTCTGAGAGGTCCCCGGAAATGCCACACTCAGACTAGCCATGTGGTCTGTTCACATAAATTCATGCACACCCCAAAACCTTCCCATTCTGAGGCCTGCGTCATTTCCTTCTCCCTCCCCCACTCTTCCTCTGAGTTCAGATTCTTGCTGCTTCTTCATCTGGCTCAGTGATACTGGTCCCGCCTCACCTGTCTCATGGGCTCTGGGTTGTCTGGCTGGCATCTGGCTTGGACCCTGCTGTTCTGGCCCGTTCGTAACCACCTGTCTTCTCTCCTACTCTAAGTCTTCCATCACCCATCTTGCCCTCCTCTCTTCACTCACAGCTTGTTTTCCATCTGTTCTGGGGCTGCTGCTGGTGCATGTGTGTGTGTGTGGGTGCTGAGTGGTATGCACAGGCCTAGGCAGGTACCAGGACACGGTGGCTCCCAGTGTTGGGTAAGCCAGGTCCAGGCACTTCCAATGCCGGCTATGTGGAATGTAGAGGTCTGTGTTCTAATCTTCTACAACCCCTACAGGTGGCTTTCTCAGCATAACTCCACCTTGAAGGCTTCACTAATAGGAAGGGGGAGCCATTTGTACAGCTGAAATGGGCAACCAGGCAAAGAAAGAGGCGCAAAGCAGCTAGGATGGAAGCCCAAAGATGGGGGTCTTGGATTTGGTTTCTGCTGTGTCTGCCCTTCCTGGACATCTGCTTGACACACCACGTGCACACCCATTTTACCTGGGAAGAGCCTCTTACAGGTAAAGAGGCTGAGGTTCCACAAGCAGCACAAGGTCACCCAGGTGCCAAGGGGTGCTCCCATGCATAGCCCAGCACATCCTGTCACCTGCTGGCACCCAAAAGTGGGTTCAGATAGCCTATGGCTTCTGAGAATCATTAATGTTGGCTCTTTGTCACTGCTTTTAAAAACTTGCTCTATTTATACTTTGCCTCCACAGGAAAAACAAAACAAGAAAACACCGAGATAACGTGGTTCCTATCAAGGAGGGCCCAGGAGGAATTTTTTGAGGTTGTGCCTAGTCTGGAGTAGACTGTAGAGGGGACTGCAAATGGCTTAATGAGCCAGGTGAAGCACATCTGAGCTGTAGGGCAGCCCGCCACGTTCTCCCCAAGAGCTGAGTCCTCCCGGCAGGCTATGGGAGATGTCATCTTTTCATTTTTGAATTAACAACTCACCGTGCCATTGCACTGTAGGGTGCCTATAGATAAATTGGGCACTGTATGTTTCAAAAGCTAGAAAGGTTTTGAATGCTTTCAGCATAAACTGAAATATGGACTGGAGGCATGGTTCAAGTGGTAGGACCACCTGAATAGCAAATGTGAAGCAGAGTTCAAACCTCAGTACTGCCCAAAATAATAAAAATGTTTGAGTACATTTGCCCTGATTTAAACATTGCACAATGCATACATATATTGAAACATCTCATGGTGCCCAGTAATTATATACAACTTTTGTTTTTATGTATTGAAAAATAAAAACAGAAAAGAACGGGAGAGAGGCAGTTACAGGCCATTACTTTGCTAAAGTCTCAGCTCTGATAGACTGACACCACCTCAGCCTTCAGCACAGACCATCCAGCTGCCTGGACACCAGCTTCTCCTTTTTGGCCTCATCAAGTTAGTCATGCTGATCCACTGTACCCCAGAACTGATGGGGGAATCCCAGGAAAGAATCTGTGCAGGTCCCCAAAATGTACTTTCCTGAACACCACTGGAGGTAAATTCACTAAGAAAGCAAATCAACAAAACCCTTGACACTTCACAGCAGTGGTACATCCCCATGTGGTGCCCTGTGAGGTAGGCAGGTCAGGTCCCTCGAGGCCACTTCTCCAAGAATCAACAGGGAGGTCCAGTGGCTTTCTCACCACTGGCAAGAGAATCCATGCCGATTCCTAGTAATCTGTGTAGTGACCCTGAGGTCTGGGGGCAGGGACTTTGCTTATTTGGGTTAGATGATTAAGCACCAAAAAGCCGACAGTTTCTGCCCACAAGATGCTTTGAGTGCAGCTGCTGAGATAGAGTGGGAAGTTAGGGGAGGGCATGCGGAAGCCCCTAAGATTCCTGTGAAGAGGACTGTAACCCCAGTCACCACACGACAGGTAGACACTACAAAGAAGTGGAGACAACCAGAGGTCTGCTGACTTGGAGCGCCTCCAAAGAGAGCTGGCCCCTTTCATTCCTGGCAGGGCCTCAGGGCATCCCTGTTCTCCAAGGTTCTTCCAGCTTCTCCTGACTCAGCAGTGATTATGGGGAGGCCTACCACCTTGGCAACAAGAGGGAAGCAGAGGTGGTTATTTCAGCTGCTGTCTTGAGCTGCCAAGGCTGCTCTGAGTGGAGTTACTTATTTGAAGACACCCCCATCAACACTTAAGAGCCAAAAGGCACTGCCTAACTAATAAGCATATCACAAGGTACAAACTTGAGCCTACAGGAATGATAAAAAATCTGGTGAATCTTGAACATACCTTTAAAACTCTTATTTTAAAAATCTATTTGTTGAAAAGTACCATTAGAATGAATGTGGATCAATCAGTAAAATGGCAAATCGAGCTATTTTTAGAGATGGAAAAAAAACAAAAACCACCCAAATTCAGTCTCCTTAAGATGACCGCAACAGAGGACAGAGGAGTTTTACTCTTCAGGAGGGTGGTTGGATGTAACAGGCTCCATTTCTTCAAAGACAAAATGATTACAAAATGCTGTAATTTTTGACCGTGTTTGTTCTACAAATGATGATGGAAATAAGCAAAATTTCAGTTACTAAGAACAAGTAACTTCCTATTATAGCTGGAAAGCAGACTTCTCTCTTCCCACAGTAATTCTGGCAGACATGTATAGAACTTACAGGCTCAAGATGAGGGAAAGTAATCTGGAATGAGCCCTGGAGATCTTTAACACACGAGTTCTGGAGGCTGTCTGGGGCCTTGGCTCCCTCAAATGATTTCCCCATGGTCACGGGGGTATTTAGTATGAAGCCACAACTTAACTCAGACCTAGAGTTCTGGCCCTTGTGTGGTGTACTGCCATGCTTTCTGTGCACAACTCAAATCTTCAAGCATTAAAATTCATGCTCAGGGCTGGGAATGTAACTCAGTGGTAGAGTGACTGCCTAATGTGCACAAGGCCCCAGGTTCAATCCCCAGTACCGGAGTTAAGAAAAAAACAAAAACAAAAAAACCTATGCTCAAATATCCCCATCAGTATTTTCAAAATTGCAACTCCTAGATTTTATGTTCAAAATAACAAATTTGTTTAGAATATTTTGGCATCTTCAGTTTTTTGGTGGTACTGGGGTTTGAACGCAGGGCCTCTACTTGCTAGGTAGGCTCTCTATATCTCCAGTCTTTTTTCATGGGACCTTCTGGACCAAGATCCCCCTATTTACACTTTCTGCATAGCTGGGAAGATGGGCGTGTGTCACCATGTGCAGCTTTTTTTGGGTGAGATGGGGGTCTCAGGAACTTTTTGCACGGGCTAGCCTTGAACTACAATCCCAGATTTCTGCCTTTTGAGGAGCCAGGATCACAGGCATGAGCCACTCACCCAGCATTTTTTTTTTTTTAAATTCAGATATATGTAGATTTCAATGAAGTCTCCCTTATACATAATTTTGGGGTATTTTTTTGGCGGTAGTGGGATTTGAACTCAGGGTCTCATGATTGTTAGACAGGTACTCTATCACTTGAGCCAGCCCCGAAATCCTTTTTTGCTTTAGTTATTTTTTCAGGTAGGGTCTTGTGTTTTTGCCTGGAGCTGGTCTCGGACCACACTCCTCCTATGCCTCCTGAGTAGCGTACAATCACACCCAGTTTGTTAGTTGACATGGGGTCTCACTAACCATGATCCTCCCAATCTGTCTCCCCAGAAGCTGGCAATTAAAGATGTCAGCCACTGCACCTGACCTGCAGGGCATTTTTCTATATAACAGGGAAGCAGTATAGAGGCTGGGAAGGAGAAAGTACCATAGTTCCCTGAGATTATGGGGAACAAAAAGTTCTTTGAATGTTGCCCTAATGTTTTTAGCATAAACAAAACTCAGGAAGAAAATCTCCATGCTACGCTCTGGCTGGCAGATTGGTTCCAGGTGTGAGGCATCTGTTGAGCACCTGGGTCAATGTCCTGATGAGCTGCACTCAGAGCTGGGATTGGATGGATGTTGAGTGCTCCTGGTTCCCTCTCACCAGAGAAGCTCCAGGTGGAAGATTCTGGATGCTGGTGGAGGGCTCATTATTGCTGAGAGCCAGTGCTGAGCAAAGCACTGCTAGGTCTGTACACACCCTCACAGCCCATCCCAAGCACCCCTGCAAGGTGAGGCCAGAGGGCAGGAAGTCTGGCTTGGGACTGGGTCCTCCTGTACCAGGAGATCTGACCTCCGGCTGGTGGCCAAGGCAGTAACACAGAGCAGCTGCTGGGCAGACAGGATAACTCAGCTCTCCCAGCCTACTCCCAAACACCTCAGGCTGACTGACCACGGTGATTGTGGGTGGTAAATGAGGAAGAGAGAAAAAAATAGGTTGGCATCTTCTGTTTTGAGAGTGACTTTCTCCATGTTTAAACTAGCCTTGCTTGAATTAGTTACATAAACAATTCTACTTCCTTAAGAGACACAAATTAAGGCCAAGAAAATACATTGCAATTTCTCTTCAAACTGATCAGCATCTAGAGATGTGATTCTGAGCTACTGGTTTTCCTGTTGTCAGTCATGTAAGATTTCTTGGAGTTTAATAGTATCATGATTACTGACGTTACTGTCTGAGTACTCATCAAAGGCAGTAGACAAGCAGCCCATACTGACAACTTCAGGCTCTAATGTGTAAACCTTTCCCAAGAGCAGGGGACCTTGTGGGGTATCTGGGGCGACACTGTGGGAACCGATGAGCAGAGTGCTGTAATTCTCATTTATTGCATTCTGTGGCACCACAGGCAGAAGAGGCCCTGACAGCAAGTCCACTTGACCAGCAGTTCTAAGTCTTAGTACCTGAGATATACACTCTGGAAAAAAAAAATCAAGACTGGATTACTAATGTGCATCTCGTAAGATTTGGGTTTGTCCCTGACAGAAGGACATGTCCTAACCTGAAAAAGCCTACATGAGATTAGAGACAGAAACCAGTTAAGCACCAAGTCCCAGTGAAAGAAACGAGATTTAGAAAGTGAGCTACACTTCAGCACATCTCCCTTTGGGGTAGTGAGACACCTGTCTCAGAGCACTGGCCACTGGGGCGGTTCCTCCCCAGGGAACTGCTACCAAGTGCAGCCTCCCAGAAAAGCCTTTGCATCCTTGGGACCTCACTGCTGTGTTGGCACTTGATCACTTCTCGTCATCCCGCCCATAGTTAATAGTCTGTAAGGCCTGAGCTATGAGCATTGCCAACTCTCGGGTACCGGCAGCAACCACTCTGCAAGACATGAGGTCCAGGGGTCCACCTGAGGACAAAGGGGAGAGAGTAGACACCTGGGTTACTGGACTGGCCCAACAGTTTTGTACTACACACACATACACAGGAAAATGGTCCATGGGACTATGAGGGAGTCCAGGTCCTGCACCCAATAGGTGTTCTAGAAATGAACTAGGCAAAGAAGGAAGGATGGAGATTCTCTCCATCTGCTCTACCCCAGTGAGAAAGTGGTCAACTGCAGTCAATGCTGTACTGAGCTGAGCCTCTACCTCAGAGACTGTTGGTGGAATGTGAAGTCCGGTAAATGCAAAGATGGGTTAGACCAGGGTTGGGAAGCAATCTGTCCTATACTTTACTACATGAGTCACTGGGGTCTATAGAATGAAGGCCCCACCCCCAACTCAGTGAGTCTGAATATGGGGGGACCTGAGCCTGCCTGTCCTGTGTGCCCTGTCTTGCCAGGACTGATCAAGGTGCTTGTGGTAAAATCCAGAGTGCAGGATGCTTTTCAAATGTGACCCTGGGCTGTGTAGTCATGCTGCCTGAGACTCACACCCCTTCCCTTTTATGCCTTTCTGGCACTTATGACTTTCAAAGGAGAAACAGGAACAATGTAGGAATCAGACCACAGAATATCCACCCTATACATCCAGTAGTTAAGACTGGGCCATGGTGTTTTTGCCAATAAGATCTGGGTTACAAGCTAGGAGAAAATGGAATGTAGCAAGAAATTCACCAGGTCTTGGTTACTCTTGACCTAAGTAGGGAGCTCACTGATGCTCTCTGGAGGTGGGGAAAGTCAGCCACCTGCAAGGCCCTGAGGGAGAACAACTTCCAGTCTATTCTTCTGAAACCCAGCAGGCTTGTGCTGGGTACTAGTGCTGATACAACTTTGGGCTACAAAGATTGGGGGAGCATGACTCCTGCTCTGTAGACTCTGCTGATTCTCATGGGGTCTGGGCATAAGTGGAAGCCCTTGGAAAGCAGTGGGTGGTGTAAATGTGGAATGGTAGTCTGTCATTCTGGCCAAGAATGACCTACCTGTGAGGGCAGGAAGGAAGCTGCCTGTGCTAGTCACTGTCATCACGCGCCCTGTATGGCTTTGTCTGCAGAACTCTGAGGACATGCGGGAATCCAGTGTGGTGGGGACCTCAGGCAGTGCCCCACCCACAGTGCTACCTACTCTAGTTTCTGCTGTGGGCCTGAGGGAAGGAGGGTGGCTGATGGCCACAGAGCTCACCTGAGGTGTCCATCACGATGCCTCCTGCTTCCCTGATGATGACTGTGGCAGCGGCCAGGTCCCAGCAGTGCAGTCCAAACTGGTAGTAGGCATCGGCAGCCCCTGAAGCTAGATGGCAGAGCGCCAAGGTAGAGCTTCCAATCACTCGGACCCTAGGGGAGAGGCAAAGAGGACAGACAGATGTGGTCAAATGGGCAGTGTGCCTGCCACTGTGACACGGCGTGTGTGCTGCTTGACCCCCTCACCCCTTACTGGGCATGCTCACACCCAAAAATGAGCCAAAGACTTCTGCCATCAACTCGGAATGCAGAGTTCAGGGCCTGGAGAAGCCCGTTCAACACTATGCTACGACTGCTGCTGTGAGTCATGGGGGCTGCGGGTCTGGACCATGGCCTGGGCAGCTAAAGGTCTAAGGTCTAACCCCACGAACCATGTGACGTAACAGCAGAGCCTCCAGTGTGCGCAGACGGAGGGATGAACACTTGGGTGAAACAGATCAGAGCAAGACTCTGCTCAAGCAAGTCACTGTAAGGCTCAGTGGCTGAGGTTCCCAAGGCTAGTTACTTGGACTCTCAAACACAGGTCAGAAGGGACACAGGACCCATCCATTTCCTGATGCTTGGTAACCGAGTGTCCCACAGAGGGGCCTCCCAAGCTGGTGTCACCTACACCTGCCCCAGGAGTTCCCAGACCCAGAATCCGTACCCGTGAGCCTTGGCGTGGAGCAGTCGCTCCATGTTGCTCAGGAACAGTCTCAGAGTAGCCGGGTCACGTTTGGACCCAATTTCTGTCAGAACCAAGGCCTTTGAGAGATCTGCAAAACAGAATTCCCGCCAGCAGGGAGATCAGGCCTGGCCGTGAGGAAATCATCTGGGTTTTCTCCGAAGCAAGCAAGCTTCTAACATCTGCCTCTGTTCTTTCTCAGAGCAGGTCAGCTGTGGAGTACCTGATGCTGCAAAGTCTTTCTGATGGCTGTGTTGGAAAGTAAGGGCTCTAGGGCCATGCTGTCCCTCTTCCTTTTGATGGGTTTCTTTTCAGATTGACTGCCTAGGAACAGACTCTCCAGGTCTTTCTTTGAAAATGACTACTATTCAATGACAAATGAAAACGAATGACTCTACCAGAGTACCACTTGATGTTTGGAGGGAAAAAAATGCCTTCCTTTCTAAAAATGTTTAATGCAAAACTGTCTAAATGCTATGACCACAGGGCTGGACATCTTCCTGAGGAGAAAGTGACTCAGGATTCCATCATCACTGGGGGAGGGGAGCCGCTGCAGGGGCGAGCGGGTACAGGAAGGCCGTCACCTGTGAACTTCCGATCTCCTCCACGCAGGGGCCACACAGAGCACTTGAGCCAAGTGCTTGGCTTACACAGTAATGAGGTGATGCAGCCAGAGTAGGAAGCCTGGCTCTTGGTGTCCAGGGATGTGACTGAGACTCGCTGTGGGGAAATAAGCAGCAGTGTGACTTTGTCACATGTCCACACATGCCAAACTTGTCCTGTCCCACAGATAGAGTGACTCCACGAGCACAGGAGAAACAGCCTCCATTATGTCTTTTTACTCCACAGGCCCAACTGTACTGGCATTTCCAAATAAATCCTCCATTCTTATCACAGAGTCCTTGCTGTAGACCCTAATGCTTCCTCAGACAGTAAGCTCCACCCACACCCGCATAGGTCCCAGTTACTCACCACCTGACACACCCAGAACAAAGGCTGAGCTAACACTGCACCTCTGGGGCTCTGGGCGTGGCAATGCCAACACAGAGGCTGCAGTGCCAGGTACTCCCTGGAATGGCCATGGTGCCTTGTGAACAGGAGCCAGTTAACCTTCCCACTGCTCACCTTCCTACCCACCCTTGCTTGGCCACAAACCTAGGCAGGGTTACGGGGGAGCTTTGACGACATCCTCAGGGCCAGGCACTTAGGGAAGAGTGAGTGCCTTCACTGAATGAAGGAGTGAGTGCCTTCCCTCAAATACCAGCATCCCAACCCGCTGAGGGTGTAGCTCAGTGGCAGAGTGCTTGCCTAGCATGCAGGATGCTCTGGGGTCCATCTCTAGTAACACCCACACACACCCACACACACACCCACAACCAACTGAAAATCACAGTGTTTTAAATTTATCGGAAGAATCTTTGAGTTAAGTAGAATTTTACTGACTAGTCTAAGAATCTGATACTATACACAACACTTATTTGGGGGAAATTAACTCTGAATTATAAGTATGTTAGTTAAAAATATTCTTTTGAAAAGTTAGCAAGACCCCCATCTCAACAAATAAGCTGGGTGTGGTGAAGCACACCTAGAAATCCCAGCTATACAGGCGTAGCTACAGGAGGTGTAGGTAGGAGGACTGAAGTCTGACACTAGCCCCAGGAAAGAAGCACGAGACCCTATCTGAAAAATAACTAAAACAAAAAAGGGATGGGGACATGATTCAAGTGGTAGATCACCTGCCTAGCAAGTATGAGGCCTGACTTTGAAACCTGATAGTGCCAAAAAAGTGTTCTTTGAAAGATAAAATGTTGTATTTGTGAAGTGCCTATGAAAATCAGGAACTGGACTCACCAAAGAGACACAGCTAGCCAAAAAGCAAACGAAAAGATGCAGCACAACACCCGTCTTCAGAGCAATGCAAATTAACACAACAGTGAAACACCACTGGGCCTGCTGAGTAGCCACGTGGGCACCGGCGGTGCCAAGCCCTGGCAAGATCACGCTGCCACAGGGAGGCTTGCTCATTCAACGCTGGTGGAGTGCAAACTGGCCCAGCACTTTGGAGACAGCATGGCAGCTTCTTACAAGGCTAAGTAGCCTCTTACCATGCGATCCAGCAACTGTGCTCTGTGACACACACTGGAAGGAGTTGAAAACGTTGTTTTTGCACAAATCCCACACGTGGATGCTCATTAGCAGCTTTGCCGATAATTGCGCTAACTTGGAAGCAACCAAGAAGTCCTTCAGCAGAGGAGTGGACACTGGCACCATCAGATGAAGTATTACTCAGTGCTCAGAGGAAATGAGCCATCAATGAGAATTTAAATGAGCACACCCACTGCAGAAAGCAGTATGGAGGTTCCTCTGAGGAAACTAAAAATAAAACCACCATATCATCCAGCCACACCACTCCTGGGCATATATTAAAGAAATATAAGTCAGGATATAGTAGACACCTGCATAGCCGTGTTCATCACAGCACTGCTCACAACAGCCACGCTATGGAAACATCCCAGGTGCCTTACAACTGATGAATAGCTTAAGAAAATGTGGTGCCTATACACAGTGGAGCATATTCAGCCATAAAGAAGAATGAAATTATGTCATCTGTAGGCAAATGGATGGAACTGGAACCCTCATGTTAAGTGAAGTTAGCTAGATTCAGAAAGAAAAAGTTCATGTTTTCTCTCATATGTGGAAGACAGAACCAAAAGATAAACATATACACAATTCAAACATGGTCATATATACACATACATAGAACATTTTTATAATAGTGGGACTGTCGGAGCAGAGAAGGGGGTCGAGGGAGAAGAAAGAAAACGATAGTGAATAATATTGAAATGCATTGCATCTGTGTAGGAACATGTCATAACAAAACACACTGAAAACTTGAAAAATAGGGGGAAGGGTGAGAGTAAAATAAGGTTAATCTGATTAAAGTAACAACATACCCACATGTGAAATACCAGGCACACCTCTGAACAATGAGCATACACTTAAAAACATGAAGGGCAGGAAGGTAAATTATGTCCTGTTGGGGGTAAGTGTGAGTGAGAGGGGGAGGGTGCATGGAGGGGTGAAGGAGGATAAATACGACTGATGCACTTTACATGTGAAAGCAGAACAAAGACACCTGTCAATCAAGTTAAGTAGTGGGCAAGGGATGAGGGAGAAGGAAGGTGGGGTGAACCTAACAAAGATACATTTTTAGCACATATGGCGATGTCACAACGAACCCCCCCCAATTGATATATGTTAACAAAAATGTTAAAAAAAAGAAAGAAGTTATCAAATCATGAAAAGATACAAAGCAAATCTGAAAAGGCCACACACAGTACGACTCCAACTATATGACATTCTGGAAAAGCTCAAACTGTAGAGACAGTAAAGGATCATGGTTGCCGAGGTTTGGAGGGAGGACTAGGAGACTGAGTTTTTAGGGCAGCGAATCTACTCTGTATGATAAAGACATGTCATTAATATATCCCCCATCCTCAGAAAGTGCTTCACCAAGAGCAAACTCTACTGTGAACTAGGGACCTTGGGTGATAGTGACGTGTCAACGTCACTCCACAGACTGTAACAATGTGCTAGCTGCTAAGCACGACAGGCACCTTTAGGGGCAAACTCCTGTAGTAATACACCTTCTCAGTGTCCTTTCATTTTGTTTCAGCTACATCTTTTTGCAGAAAATTGAGCATGCCCAGAAACATTCCTGCCTGCCATTTTAACCTTTCTTTTTTTGGTAGCATTGGAGTTTGAACTTCAGGCCTCAACACTTGCTCGGCAGATGCTCTACCACTTGAGCCACACCCACTCTTATTTGCTTTAGTTATTTTTTCTCATTTTTCTTTTTCTTTTTTTTTTTGTCCATGGCTGGTCTTAACTGTGATCCTCCTACCTATGTCTCCTGCATAAGTGCAATTACAGATGTGCCCCACCATGCCTGGCTTATTGGTTGAGATAGGGTCTTGCTAACTTTGCCTGGGCTAGCCAAGAACTGCAATCTTTCCAATCTCTGCCTCCCAAGTACCTGGAATTATAAGTGTGAACCACTGCACCCAGTCCATTTTAACTTTCTGAATATGTGCTCCATGACTTTGGGCTAAACCTGCACCAAAACATGTGTTTGGTACATTTCCTTCTTGAACTATGACCTTAAACTGAGCATACTGAGGAATGTACCCACCCCCTAGAATGCTTTCCTACATGAACATGCATAGGCTCCCCCAATAAAATCTCCACAATTTCTTTGTTCTGGTTGGGCATTGCTTTGGAAATAACTCCATGCTCTCTTTATCTGCTGCAGGTAATAAGTCTTTCTCCATCCTTTTATGTCGTGGCCATGCTTGTTTTGGCTTTTGCAATCACCAAGATACGAACCCATTGCATTTGGTTCAAGTGTGCTCCTCCAGTGCGGGATGCTGAGAATGGCTGCGTATGTGTGTAGCCAGAGGCAATGAAGAAACTCTGCTCAATTTTGCTGTGAACTTCAAACTGCTCTAAAAATAAAAAATCAAGTACTAAAAAAAAGAAAGAAGAGGAGGAGGGAAATGGGATGGCCTGCATGCTGCTTTAGCCAGGGAAGGATGAGCTGCTACAGAGGTGGCCATGTGGGAAGAGACACCTTGCCTGGTCCTACCCTGCATCTTCTTTACTTATCTAACTCTGAGTCTTACACCATCATGTTAGTTTTCCATCATTGTGACAAATGCCTGAGAGAAACAATTTAAGACCAAAGACTGATTTTGAATCATGGTTTCAGTCCATGGATCCATTGCTTTGGGCCTGAGGTGAGGCAGAATGTCACGGTGGGAATGAGTACCAGTAGCTGCCCACCTCATGGCAGCCAGGATGCAAAGAGAGACAAAAGCTGGGCACACCCCCAGTGACCTACCTCCTCCAATTGGGTCCCACCTCCTGAGTGTCCACCACTGTCTAATAATGTCATCAATTTATGACTCCATCTATGGGTTAATGCTCAATTGATGAAATCAGAGTCCTGATGAACCAAGCACTTCCAAAAAGTCCCAACACAACAGACAGACAGACATACACACACAAAGCCCACCAGCTGGCAGCCAAGTC